TCTTTCCTATAATGAATAAATATCAAAATAATAATTAATTATTATATACAGGGTGAGTCATAAGTATGTTTTAAAACTTCGTGAGCGTGTTCCTGGGTAAAAAGTATAAACGAATGTTCCTATATATATATGAACATTAGGCCGAAAATATTTCGTTATTTAAGTAATGGATACAAATAGATTTCATAATAACTGAGTTTCAAGTCAGATTTTTTCTTTTCACGATGTTTTGTCTCTAGTGTTTTGATTCTGGGATAGTGTTTGTTTACCAGTACACGCTACTACGATCCACTGAAAAAGGGGAGGGGGTTTTAATGTAGGCCTCTGTATTTGTATACAATAAGAGAAACGTATCTACAATCAAGTCAGTATGCTTGAGGCAGTTCAATCGAGCAGTATTAATATTGATTCATTTACTGTAACAGTGTAAAGAATGTTTTCATTTGATGAAATGAGTGTTATTCATCTTACGTATAGTGAAGTGCAATACCTATTTGTGTCCATTATTTGATAACGAATTTTTGACTTAATGTTCATAGGAACATTTGTTCATACTTTTTATCCAGAAACACGCTCACGACATCTGTCTCTAAAACATACTTATGACTCACACTACATATATATGCTTCCAAAATCTATTCTAATTTCATTGAAAAATGTCGGTAGTTTAATTAAACCGCACTCGAATTCAAATGGCCTCGAATTAAAATTCTATCAATAGGAACCCGATTACATTCGACTTGTTTAGAATGTCTCATTTTAGTGAGAGTAAGGTTGGCTTATTTTGACGTGCTCTGACGTAATCTAACTTCTATCCAGTATTCACCCCGACCTTGCTCCACTATCCCATTTCCAGGAAGCTTTTCCGAAAGATGGCGTCTTTTCCAAGATCACTCACGCAACCCCTTTGAAGTTTCATCGTCGAGAGGAAGACCGGAAGAATCCGAAGAAGGTCGGGAATCTAGAGGGGGAGGAGGACTTCTCCATTATTCTCGCGACGCGTGGACTCGTGTAATATCCTCTAATTCCCAACAATTTTTACCCGATCGCGCGATCGCCAATCGCACGAAGTGGCCGCGATTCTCGCAAATTTTCCATTACACAGATATTCGCGGTGAAGAATTTTATTACGACCGCCATCTC